TCATTATGTTAGTATAATCCCCATCAAAGTAAGGTGGCCACTGATCGTTCACCTTATTCCCAGTAACCAAATAGAAAACCCAGAATAAGGAAACCAGAAGCTTGATAACAGAGAGAAGGAGATTTGATTAGAGAAAGGACACTCAAAAGTCTTCCTTTTTATCATTATTTATCTAGATATATGTAAAAGTTAAATTAAAAAAATTATATAATATCTATGTGACATGGTCAAACATTTGACTTCTTGCCACATCATAAAAAATCTTCCATCTCACTTAATATTTTGCCACGTCATAGTCAACTAACAGTTGACCGGACGGAAAGTTAACGGTTTGGCTATTAATTTGTTTTTGAAAAGGTTTGGATATTATTTTGTTTAGAATAAAAGGTTTGGCTATTAAATTGTATTTACCCAAAAAATAAAAAGACTTTTAATTCTCCACCTTTAAATATGGATTTTCTGAATGAAATATCCAAATTTAGTTATTGATTGGTACATGTATCTTGAGCCAACAAAGCAGCTCCACTTGAAATTCCGGCGATCTCCCCGATTTTGCTCTCCAAAACACAATATTCGTGTAAATACTTTTAAAACCACCGTAACTAAATAAAAAAAACATTATTTTAGAAATTTAGTCCATTTTAGGCTTTAGCACTAGCATTGAGTTGGTTTAACGTTGGCCTGCGTCTCTGGAACCATCTTCGGCTGCGCCACTGCTCTAACCTAAACCTCGACTCTAGTAGAAGCCTCTAGAACCCTATCCTTCGTTGCCTTCCCTTCCCTCTATTTAAAACCTCTTTCTCACTCAAATCTTTAAAAGGCCACTGAATATCTTTTCCTTCTCATCCTTCCTGAATTCCCCCAATTCTCTTTGCGCGATTTCTCTTTCTACCCTCCCAAAGCTGCATCCAATGGAAGACGACTTCGACCTCCCCACTGCCGGCGACGACCTGATGAACGAAGACCTCGATCTCGGCGATGACGCTCCCGCTCTTAAAGTCGGCGAGGAGAAAGAGATCGGGAGTCAAGGCTTGAAAAAGAAGCTCGTAAAGGCAGGTGAAGGCTGGGACACTCCCGATAATGGCGATGAGGTGGAAGGTAATTTGTCTTCCATGCCCTTTTGACTATGGGTTCGCTAGTGTTTCCTCAGATTTTTTTAGGATCTTACGAGTTCCTTCCTTTCGGTTCTCGATGCAGTTCACTACACGGGGACATTGCTGGACGGGACCAAGTTCGATTCTAGTCGGGATAGAGGGACGCCTTTCAAATTTACCCTTGGTCAAGGTAAGGGATCCGTTCGATGCAATGTGTATGATCTCTGGATTCTACTTCTCTGTTAAATCCTGGTTTGGAGATTCTGTGGTTAGCATGATTAATCTGCTGTTAAGTCGTTACCCGCCCGCGCGGAGAGATTGCAAATTCATCAGCATTTTTGTCCAAGGTAGAAACGCCACATGTGATGCTAGATGCACAGGACATATGTGTGATTGGGGACTTGGGTGTATTTTGCTAGGTTTAACTTGAAGCTGGATTGGTTGAAGGGTTGCTATGTTGAACCTCCATTTCTTGTTTTTGAAAGGTTGGTTCTTCAATTGGCTATCTGAAACCTATATGGTGATCCCGTTTTTCCCATCTCGGTCTTCTTTGCAGGACAAGTAATTAAAGGATGGGACGTGGGGATCAAGACGATGAAGAAAGGAGAAAATGCAGTTTTCACAATTCCTGCCGATCTGGCTTATGGTGCTTCAGGCTCCCCACCGACTATTCCCCCAAATGCCACCCTTCAATTTGATGTTGAATTGCTCTCTTGGAGTAGCGTCAAGGACATCTGCAAGGACGGCGGAATATTCAAGAAGATCGTTGTTGAAGGAGAGAAATGGGAAAACCCCAAGGATCTGGACGAAGTGTTTGGTAATGCTAGTTTCACGCCTTTATCACGATTTATTGTTATTAGGAAAGGTTATTTGTTTTTCATATTTAACATCTTCAATTTTGACTTGTTACTCTGCAGTGAAATATGAAGTTCAGCTTGAGAATGGTACTTTTGTTACCAAGTCTGATGGAGTAGAGTTTACTGTCCAGGAAGGTAAGTATAAAAAAACGATGAGCTCTGTGGTCTTCCGCTCCTTTTAAGAAGCCAGGCTAGTCTTCTGAGGTCGAATTGTTACGACTCTGTAGGTCACTTCTGTCCTGCTCTGGCAAAGGCTGCGAAGACGATGAAAAAGGGAGAGAAAGTTGTTCTTACCGTGAAACCGCAATGTAAGTAGCTGTACTTGAATTTCTCCCCTGCGCTAATCAATAAAAGGAAATATAGCTCCTTTGTATTGACTGGGCATGCATATTCTTTCTTTCGTAGATGGATTTGGAGAAAGTGGGAAGTCGGCAACTGCTGATGGAGGTGCTGTTCCACCTAATGCGACGTTGCAGATAACCCTTGAGCTGGTTTCATGGAAGACTGTATCTTCCGTAACTGATGACAAGAAGGTCATCAAGAAAATAGTGAAGGAAGGAGAGGGATATGAGAAGCCTAATGATGGCTCCGTTGTTCAATGTTAGTACAATTTCTGGGTTTAAGTTTTAGGTTACAGATATGATCTTGTTGTGTGGACCTAGCTGACCTTTATCAACTTCTGTGCAGTGAAATTGATTGGGAAGTTGGAAGATGGTACAGTGTTTCTGAAGAAAGGTCACGAGGATGATCAATTGTTTGAGTTTAAAACTGATGAAGGTAAGCAAAAGTGCTGTGCTTCACAATTGTATCTCTGGTTGTTGTGTATTAGGTGTTCCAATTGTAAATTTGTTTGGCAGAGCAAGTGATTGATGGGCTGGATAGAGCCGTGATGACAATGAAGAAAGGTGAGGTGGCTCTGCTGACCATTGCCCCAGAGTACGCATTTGGGACCTCCGAATCAAAACAGGATTTGTCTGTCGTGCCTCCCAACTCAACCCTCCACTATGAGGTTGAATTGGTTTCATTTGTCAAGGAGAAGGAATCCTGGGACATGAACACACAGGAGAAAATTGAAGCTGCCGGCAAAAAGAAGGAAGATGGAAACGTACTTTTCAAGGCTGGTAAATATGTAAGGGCCTCTAAGAGATATGAGAAGGTAAAATTCTTTTGCTCAACCGTGGTCCCTCGTTCTACTGATCATCCGTGGATGTGTGGCTTAAATCTTCCTCTTGCACTTTTGACTTGCAGGCAGTAAAATTTGTAGAATATGACACATCCTTCAGTGACGAGGAGAAGAAGCAATCTAAGGCACTGAAAGTTGCTTGCAATTTGAATGATGCAGCTTGCAAGCTGAAACTGAAAGATTATAAAGCAGCAGAGAAGTTATGCAGCAAGGTATGCCAAATCTCCTCTTAACCATATCGCTTCTTTATGCTGAAGCAGTAAGCGTTGTGTCCGTAATTACTGATTGTGAGGTGCTGCAGGTGCTGGAAATGGATAGCCGCAACGTAAAAGCTCTTTATAGGAGAGCCCAGGCCTACATCCAGTTGGCGGATCTGGAGCTGGCAGAGTTTGACATCAAGAAAGCTCTTGAGATCGATCCGAATAACAGGTAGATTCCCAAGCAATATTCACTTGTTAGAATAAGATCTTCCTTAGCTACTTGGGGTTGGGGTGTACTTGTTCAACCAATGCTGAATAGGTACCGTAATATGTTCTGTTGTGGCATTGGAACAGGGACGTGAAGCTGGAGTACAGGACTTTGAAGGAGAAGATGAGAGAGTACAATATGAAGGATGCCAAATTCTATGGGAATATGTTCGCCAAGATGAATAAGATGAGCCCTCTAGATTCCAATGTAAGTGGGACTCCTTGGCTGCCCTCTGTTTGTCCGGTTTTGTATCGCCATTGATGACTGAGTACGTGTGTCCCCTGTTTCTTTTGGCAGAAGGAGGTGCCAATGAGCGTGGACAGCAAAGCATAAGAAGGTAAAGAAGCAGATTGTGGATGAGGATGGGAAATTGGGAAATCATTGAGAGCTTGTACTGCTGCTATTGTACCAATCTTCGTTTGCGGTTGTTGGTTGCTTTTGCTTTCTTGTGTTTTCTCCCCTTCTCTCCCGTTTGTGTCCCCTTTCGCCTCTTGATGGGTAGCTCAATTAGAAACTGGTAGAGACTGGTTTTGGCTTGGTGTAATGGACAACTATTTAAGAAATCCTAATTCAACAATAAGCACCAGTTTTTTCTTTGACGTCTCAGAAGCGAAATATCTCTCAGTTCTCAGTCAACGTATGATGTGTCCGATTATACATTCAAATAATAATTCAAGGGGAGGACGTCAGAGAAGCAAAAACTAGAGCGAGGTTATTGTTATAAAAATTAGAGGAAAATCATCGAAATTTGTGCTATTTGGTACCAACGTCTGAAAGAAAGTGCGACACAAAAAAGAGCGATACAACAGCCAAACTGGGGCTGCTGCTAGGGGTGGGCATTCGGTCAGTTCGGTTTCGACCGAACCGAAATTATGAATATCGGGTTCTCGAATTCTCCAAAATCTCAAACCGAATTCGAACCGAATTATAATTTGGTTCGGTAGGTTTAAACCGAATTATAATTCGGTTCGGTTTGGTTTTTCACACAAAACCGAATTTGTGAAGCTACTTGTATTTTCTCACTTTTAAATTATTTCACCCCTAATATAAACAATAAATATCAATTATATGCATCATCAATGATAAAACCAAACTTTTCAACACATAAGTCTTAAAACAACTACAAACATAAAAATTCATCATTTGGAGCTTGCAATTATAGTATTTCGGTTTTTCGTTCGGAAATTCGGTTCAGTTGAAAGAACCCTGATTTTCGAACTATTCATATTTTCCTTTCGAATTCCGAACCGAATAGCATTATTTCGGTTTTGGTTCGGTTCGAGTTTACCGAACCGTTTGCCCACCCCTAGCTGCTGCCAATTGTTGGTTGTTTCTCCGGGGGTCAAAAGTGTAGTGCTCAAGAATTCAACGGTTACAACTTTTTTTTTTTTTTTTACAAAGGGCACAAGCCTTTCATTGAAATAGGCAAAAGTCAAAGGTTACAGAAGGGTGAAATAACATCAAGGATGAATGCATTCAGTCGGCAGCAGGTTCCGCGCGCAGGACCTAGCCACCCAATTAGCTTTGGAATTAAGTTTCCTATTAATCCATTCAAATTTGATGCTGGGATGGTCACTGGCAATATGCTTGATACGTTCAAGCAAGCCACTAGGGATGACAATGGGTCGGGTCGGGGACGGAGAGTGTATATCCGTTACCCTATCCAAAGTAGTTCGGGTTTTACCCATACCCACATGTGAAACGGGTAGAAAATTAAAACCATGCCCATACCCGTTCGGGTATCCACGGTTATCCATGGATAATAATTTCTCTTCATAACTCCAACCAATATGTTAACATTCACACGTGTTCTCACATTACGTAAAAGAAAAAGTAAGACAATAGTTCACTAGAATGAAGAAAATTAACTAAAACAACACAATTTCATGAAAATATTATATTTATATGCTAAATATAAAATATGTTAGAGAAAAATAATAATTATTTCTAGACAAAATACATATGCATGCGTATAGTCGGGCGGGTTCAGGTTGGATAGTTAGAAACCCATGCCCACCCATTACCCGCAATATTCGAGTTCGGGTTTTACCCGTACCCACTAAATGTCCTTCGGGTTCTGGTTTTACCCTACCCGATTAGGCCGGATTCGGGCGGATATCCACGGTTACGGATATTTTTGCCATCCCTACAAGCCGCCGCCCGCCACGGCCAAAGACATGGCTGAGCCTGAATCGCCTTCACCAAGATCAGGCAATCCGAGCGAACAAGGCACAGAGCATGAAGATCGACAGCTAACAAGGCCCCCTTCAGTAAAGCTTTTGCTTCTGCCTTAATCAGTGAGAAGCAATGCAATGGCTCAGCCTTCCGTTCAACCACTTGACCATGACCGTTCGTATAACGACGTCATATGCCGCCTCCTGGAACTCGTGAAAAAATGATCCATCACAGTGTATCTCAAAAGCATGAGTACTCGGTGGTGGTGAAGAGAGATCAGGGGGTGGAACAGGCTAAGGGTGGATAGAAGTAGTTCTCTTCTTGGGGCAGGATCTCCAATGATGGACAACCTCCATAGCTCGAGCAACCGTTGCAGTAGGCCACGAGACTTTGTCCTTAAAAACCTTTTCGTTCCTCGTCTTCCATGTCTGCCACAACAAATAGATGATACTCTGGACAATATCGGTGGACAAGGTTCCCGAGAGGGAGGACAACTACTCCAGATATTTGTAAGAGGGGGAGGGATTGCCAACTCCGGCCACAACTAAGCCCAACCATTAGCAGCATGAGGACAAGAAATGAGGCAGTGGTGGATAGTCTCCGAAGCGCGTCACACACTGGGCAAACGATGGTGGGGGAGCAGCGGCGAGCATGGAGATGTGTCTTGTGGCGAGGGCGAGAGAGGCTCTAGAGCATCGCCATATGAAGAACTTCAATTTTGGAGGGAGAGAGAGAGGCTCCACAGCCATTTCCATCTGTCCTTGCTTGTTTCTAGGATCGACAAAATCTCCCCTTGGGTCATCCGAAAGTGGTGGTGGATGTGGTTAAATGCCAATTTAACAGTGAAGTTTCCTTGATCGGTGAACTGCCAGGCCCAGTAATCTTCCATGGAACTCGGACCAATCTGCGAACCTGCCACTTTTTGTAGTTCCGCTGGACTCAGAAATTCTTCAAGAATGTCAACCTCCATTCACAGGACACATGATCGATCCAGTCGGCAACAACAGAGGAGTCCCCCATTGATTGCTGTCGAAGGGGACCTGGTCGAACAAACAACCAAGGTCCTGGAACATGGTAGTGTCTCTCCCATTACCAATTACCTTGACAATGCCTTTTTCCACCCACTTCCTAGCTTCCCAGATACCAGACCAGATCCACCAGGCCTTACCCCCTCTCCTAGCTTTAGTGAAGTCCATCTGAGGGAAATAAGAAGCCTTCAGGACCTTAACCCAGAGAGCATCCGGATTCGTGAGGATACGCCAGGCTTGCTTGGCAAGTAACGCAAGGTTAAAAATATGGAACTGTCGAAAGTCGAGACCTCCTTCCGACTTGTGGGCGTACAGAACCCTTCATGCCCTCCAGTGAGTGGATTTCTTTGAAGTTGATCCACTCCAAAAGAATCTCTTGAGCTTTGCGTCCATTCTTGTCGTGATTGAGAGAGGGAGGAGGAATAAGCACATGATGAAGGAGGGGACAGCCTGGAAAACTGCTTTGAGCAGCGTCTCCTTACCTCCTGGCGACAGCATCAAGCTTTTCCACGCTTCTCCTTGCTTCTCTAGCCGTTGGATGAGAAAATGGAAGGTTTCCTTCTTAGACCTTCCCCATGCAGTCGGCACACCAAGATATTTTGAGTGTGCGTTCGAGCTATCGAACCCAATAGTATGTAAGACTTCCTTTTCCTCTACGACCACATTATGGCTGAAGTAAACCGAAGATGTAACATCCCGTTTCGGCTAAAATCATATTTCGATCGCTAGAAAATTTCACGATTTAAAATCGAGCATTTCGACACTATTTTGACGAAAATCGGATTATCGATCGATCGGATAAGTATATATATATACATATATATATATGTATATATACATATATATCCCATGTCCATTTAAATCTCATCGTCTTTCTCATTTCCACCGAGAGAAACAAAAAAAAACAGAGCTACAACAGTCGCGCACAGGGGAGCTCGGGGAACATTTCCGTAGCTCGATTCTTGAGCTACACTGATCCAAAAATCCCGTAAGTAATGCCTAATTCATCTATACATCGTGATTTATCGATTTAGAGCTTTAAAACGAGTTTTCGGATTATCTATCGATCGGATAAGTATATATACATACATATATACATACATATATATACACACACACACACATATATATATATATATATATATATATATATATATATATATATGGTGGCTTCTATGGTACCCCGGGTGAAATCCGGGGTACCGCATACCTCGTGTATGGAAACTCTATCTAGACCTCGAATTACCAGGATTTTTGTGTCTGATATTATACCTTGACCCTTAATGAGTGAAACGTAGGTCATAATTATCTAAATCATAATCTATAAACCCTAAGATGGTGCATTCCTTTTTGTGCCTATATTTGGATGAATCATAACCGTCGATTATTGTTTCTAATTAAATTGATCTTGGAGTATACGATTGGGAGAGTTAACACCTAGATTTTGATCTTTAAGTGTTAGAGTATAGTATCATGTCCGAAAGATCGGTCAATTCAAGGTCTAGATAGTGTTTTCATACTCAAGGTATGCGGTACCCCGGATTTCACCCAGGGTACCATAGAACTCGCCATATATATATATATATATATATATATCCCATGTCCATTTAAATCTCATCGTCTTTCTCATTTCCACCGAGAGAAACAAAAAAAACAGAGCGACAACAGTCGCGCACAGGGGAGCTCGGGGAACATTTTCGTAGCTCGATTCTTGAGCTACACTGATCCAAAAATCCCGTAAGTAATGCCTAATTCATCTATACATCGTGATTTTTCGATTTAGAGCTTTAAAACGAGTTTTTGGTTCAGGAATTTCTTGAATTCCCGATAAGACAAATTAGGGTTTCGGAGTATCCGGAAGCCGGATTGAGCCCAAATTTCATATACGAGCTTACTGCAGCGAGGTAATCAATCCTCTAGTTCTAATCCCTGAATTTCGGCTATTATTTAGATCGGGGCCAAACCGCTGAATTTAGCTCTACCCAGGGTTTGATGTGTTTTTATTAAGAATTTGACCCGGAGCCTAGAACTAATATTGACGGGGATACTGCAGGGGATATTAGGACGGTCTCGGATTTTAATTCGGGGTTCGTTCGTGAAATTGACGTTTTAGTACGGGAAGGTTAAACCGGTGTTTGGACGACCAGAACGGGTGAGGGATTAGCACGACATACTGGGTTTGTCGTATCACGATAATTATATTGATGCTTAGAATTGATCTAGATGAACTAGAATGGCATGATTAGGGGTGTATGGACTTTTATGCTATATGATGAACCATGGATTGTTGTATGATATTATTGACTTGCCCTAGCCGATATGAACCTTGTTTATGTTGATGATTTCATACATGTTGCCATTTGTGGCTTAACCGTTGATATGACTTCATGGCTGTTCGATCAGGTGTTTTGACATGATGTGATATTGTGGTTGTTTTTGGATTCACAAGTGGGGGAAATAAACTTCCCAGGGTGATATTATGATGTTTAAGGAGGATGAATTGCACGAGGGTTTATCCCGAGGAAGTGCAATTATACGACTCCTGATTTACCTATGTTGAGCCAATTATGGCCAGGTCAAGTACATGTGCAAGTAATGAATTATGATTAAGCAAGATGAGATATGAATCATGTATAAGGATACCAAATATGAGTGTTGTGGTCTCACGGTCAACTACATAGTAATTAGGGCTCCCTATGCTATTACTCTATTATGATATGTATGATAGTCACACCTCTTATGTGGTGGTGACTGAAGAATTCTTATGAGATATGACCACACCCAGAGCGGTGTTGGGGTATGACTACACCCATAGTGGTGTGGGGTATGTATGACCACATCCGACGGGATGTTGGGGTATGTATGACTACATCCGACGGGATGTGGGGTATGTTTCCCGGGAGAGTTATTAGCATGGGAGTAGCTAGGCGCCTATAAGTAAAACATGATAAGATGCATATGCATAAGTCAAGGTGGTTGAGTCTTTTGCCTATTGGGATATGAGGATGGCTGAGGTCCGATCCTAGTGTTTTGGCTTGATTGTTAGATGTATGATAGGGGTATGCTCTGTTATGAACTTACGATGCTATGATTATCTCACTCAGCTATGAGCTGACCCTCTTTTATTCTTCTTCTTTGCTTATGCTATGTGTAAGCAGATCATCAGCAACAACAGTAGATAGGTGTATAGGTGGGAGCTGAGCAAGAGTTGAAGGCAAGATGAGGTATGGTCTTCAACCATTCTGTGCTTGGACTACTACTAGGGATTTTGGCCAGTGATCCACACCTTTTTGTAAAAATGTTTTGAGAACGTTTTTCATGTGCATACTAGCTTCTGATGTAGTGTGAGATATCCACAGGTGTGGAAAGTTGATGATATGGGTATATTTTTGTAATTAGGTAAGTTGTGACGATTATGGCTTGTATCAGTATAGTATGCAGTTGTGTAGTATGAAACTGTGACTATGGCTATGAAAGCCAATGTATATGGTTGTTAGTATATATGTTTGTCATTGAATGCATGGATTCAGATAAATTATTTTGCAGGTTTTAGTTACAAGAACTGTTTGCCCATTATGCGAGTAATTCATGTCGAAATTTTATTTGGGTAAATTTTGATAATTAATGTAACATCCGAGATTATTTCCGCTGCAATTGTATGAACAATATGATTAGGTAAAACGTATAGGGTAGGGTGTTACAGTTTGGTATCAGAGCCCGGTTCCCTCTTTTTGCTATTATGTCGTACTATACCCTATGGGAGGTTAAACACTCCTAAGGAGGGGAGTACCCCATAATGACTTAAACTGGGAATTGAGTTTGACATGATTATGTGTATTGGTATATTGGATGAAATTACTTGCATCATGGTTTTCAAAATTGAGTTTTGAACTTATTTGTTTTCAAGTAATTATTTTGGAAAAAAAATTGCGTTTTAACCAAGTGAGAGATTTGGTGAAGAATGAATTTTGTGTGGATCAATCTAAGGCCAATATTTCCTTGTATCTCGCACGGAAGTTGTGAAAATGTTCCTACTGACCAGTCGAGAGGAGTGGGGGAGGTTGATGCAAGACCGCTAGTATTAGACTATGCAAAGATGAAGAGTTTGGGTGGTAGGGACTTTAAGGGAGATGTGAGTCCAGATGCTGTAGTAGAGTGGTTGAGAGAGATGGAAGATGTGTTTGAGTATCTTTATGCAACCCCAGAGGAAAAAGTGCAATATGTTGTTTTTCTCCTAAAGGGGTATGCGAGGAGCTGCTGGTCCTCAGTCTCTAGAGTTAATGGTGAACGAGTTCAGTTCACCTGGGATGAGTTCCTGAAGGCCTTTAAGACGGAGTTTCTTCCCGAAGCTTTTATAAGGGCAAAAAATAATGAATTCGCCAACCTTAAGCAGGAGAACATGACAGTTACTGAGTACACCATCAAGTTTTTTCGACTACTCTACTTTGAAGATGGGTTGGCGGATACTGAGCATAAGAAGAAGATGAGATACTTACATGGTCTGCGCCTAGGATTGAAAGAAAAGATCCACAGGGTTGATGAAGAGAGCATGGCCACTATCAAGGAGGCAGCACTTAAGTATGAAGCCTATGAAGTTGAGGGAAGAGAGGAAAACAAGGCCAAAGAAGAGGAGAAGAAGAGGAAGTTTGAAGTAAATTATGTTGGACCTCGTTACCCACCCAGGAGAGGTCCTAGCAGTTTTGGGAGAACATCGAGTCAATCTATGTCAGGAACATCATACAGGGCACCAATTTCCTCAGCTACACAATTTCCATTTTGTCAAGTTTGTCAGAAGAGGCATATTGGAGAGTGTAGGAGATTTTCTGGTGTATGCTTTCACTGTGGCCAACCTGGGCACATCATGAGGGATTTCCCGCATGCGAGAGAAGTAAGAGCTACACAGTCCGAGCCTTCAGTGCAAATTAGTAGAGCCCCATTCAGGGGTGGTTACCAGGGAGGCCGTAGTGGATTTCAGAGTGGTCATGGTGGTTCACAGGGTGGTAGAGGTGGTGGTCGAAATCAGTCATCAGGAAGTGGTACGCAGGGTACCAGAGCACATGGAGCACCGAGGGTTTATGCAATGACTCGAGGTGAGGCAGAAGTGGCACCAGAAGTTGTGACTGGTATGCTTTCTATCCTTGGCAAGCAATTATATGCTTTGATCGATACTGGTTCCTCTCTCTCATTCATGTCATATACGTTTGCACATATGCTACGCTTAGTTCCAGATAAGCTAGGTTATACCTTATGTGTTAAAACACCTGTGGGAGATACCTTGAAGGTAGACTCAGTTATTAGAAGTTCCTTCATTTGTGTGGAAGGAGCTTTCCTAGCAGCAGATTTAATTCTGCTACCTTTTGATGAATTTGATGTCATCCTTCGAATGGACTTTTTGGCAACACATGGAGCTGTTGTGGATTGTCAAAAGAAAGAAGTGTTATTCAACACACCAAATAAAGGTCTTGTTGTATTCCGAGGCATTAAGAAAAAGGAGACTCATGGTTTTCTTTCTGCCTTGGAAGCTTTTTGATTAGTGAAGGAAGGTTGTGAAGCCTTTCTTGCTCAAGTTACTGTTGTAAATGATAAGAAGGTTGAGGATGTAGAGGTGGTAAGGGAGTTTCCTGAAGTATTCCCCGAAGAACTTCCCGGCCTTCCACCAGAAAGGGAAGTAGAGTTTGATATTGAATTGGTACCTGGCACAACACCAATTTCAGTGGCACCATATAGAATGGCACCAATTGAGCTGAAGGAGCTTAAAGAACAATTGCTAGACAAGGGGTTTATTTGACCTAGCATCTCACCTTTGGGGTGCACCGGTTTTGTTTGTCAAGAAGAAAGATGGCTCCATGAGAATGTGCATTGACTACCGGAGGTTGAATAAGGCGACAGTGAAGAATCGTTATCCCCTTCCAAGAATAGATGATTTGTTTGATCAATTGCAGGGTGCATCAGTCTTTTCTAAGATTGATTTGAGGTCTGGATACCATCAATTGAAAGTGGCAGATGGAGCAACTTCAAAGACAGCTTTTAGAACAAGATATGGGCATTATGAGTTCCTGGTAATGCCTTTTGGACTCACTAATGCACCAACGGTATTTATGGCTCTTATGAACAGAGTTTTCCATGAATATCTTGATAAGTTTGTGTTTGTGTTCATAGATGATATTCTCATCTATTCTAAAAGCGAGGAGGAGCACAAAACTCACCTTAGAATTGTGTTGCAAATTCTAAGATAGAAACAATTATATGCAAAATTCTCAAAATGTGAGTTTTGGCTGAAGGAGGTAATATTTCTGAGACATGTAATTTCTGGGAGAGGTGTCGAGGTGGATCCGAAAAAGGTGGAAGCAGTGGTGAGTTGGGCTCCACCAAAAGATGTGTCTGAGTTGAGAAGTTTTCTTGGTATGTCTGGTTATTATCGGCGGTTTTTCGAAGGATTTTCCAAAATTGCTGCACCATTGACTAAACTGTTGAGGAAGAATACCAAGTATGTTTGGGATGAATCATGTCAAAAGAGTTTTGATGAACTGAAGAAGAAATTGACCACAGCACCAGTACTGACTTTACCTTCAAACCATGGAGAGTTTGTGGTGTATAGTGATGCCTCATATCATGGACTGGGTTGTGTGTTAATGCAAGATGGAAGAGTTATCGCATATGCCTCTAGGCAATTGCGTCCTCATGAAGTAAATTATCCCACTCATGATTTGGAGTTGGCAGCGGTGGTATTTGCTCTCAAGATTTGGCGACATTATTTGTATGGTGAGACTTTTAAAATCCTAACTGATCACAAAAGCTTGAAGTATATCATGGATCAGAAGGACTTAAATAGTCGCCAGAGGAGATGGATAGAGTTGTTGAAAGATTATGATTGTACCATTGATTACCATCCAGGTAAAGCTAATGTAGTTGCTGATGCTCTGAGCAGAAAAGGCAAGAAGAATATAATGGATCTGGTTGATTTGAGGGCAATGAATGTTGATTTGGAAGTGGATGGTGTAACAGGGTTACTAGCTCGGTTAAAAATTCGACCTTTGTTGCACGACAAAATTCGTGAGAAGCAGAAGAGGACTCAGAGTTGGCAAAAATCATTCAAGACATTGAGGAAGGAAAAGAAAGTCCATTTGAAATGGTAGATGGTATGTTGAAGATGAATGGAAGAGCATGTGTTCCTAATCTTGATAACTTGAGGAAAGAGATCCTAGATGAAGCTCATTCTTCTGCTTATGCTATGCACCCAGAAGCAACTAAAATGTATCATAGGATCAAACCATATTTTTGGTGGCGTGGGATGAAAAAGGAAGCGGCTGACCATGTTTTCACATGTCCGGTATGTCAGAAAGTTAAGGCAGAACATCAAGCTCCTGTGGGAAAACTGCAACCACTTCCAATTCCAGAATGGAAGTGGGAAAGAATCACAATGGATTTTGTATATGGTCTCCCATCATCAAGGGGAAAAGATGCAGTATGGGTTATTGTGGACCGACTGACCAAATCGGCTCACTTTTTACCCATTAGATGTAAACCATCACTAGAGACTTTGTCTCAACTATATATTAAGGAGATCGTCAGATTGCATGGTGTGCCAATTTCTATTGTCTCTGATCGAGACCCGAGCTTCACATCTCGGTTTTGGCAAAGTTTACATGATGCCTTGGGAACTAAACTGCATTTTACTTCAGCTTATCATCCTCAAACAGATGGCCAGAGTGAACGAACCATCCTAACCTTGGAGGAATTACTTCGATCATGTGTAATGCAATGGGAGGAATCATGGATTGACCATTTGCCCTTGATTGAGTTTGCTTACAACAATCAGTACCATAGTAGTTTGGGTGTTCCACCATAAGAAGAAATTTATGGGAGAAAATGTAGAACACCATTATGTTGGGATGTAGAAGGACCAAGGCAAATTTCAGGGCCAGAGATAGTTCAGATCACAGTTGATAAGGTCAAGGAAATCAGGGAGCGTTTGAGGGTGGCTCAAGATCGACAGAAAGTTTATGTTGACACGAATAGGCGTGAAGTTAATTTCGAAGTGTGTGAGAAAGTATTTCTCAAAGTGTCACCATGGAAAGGGGTGATGAGATTTGGTAAGAAAGGGAAACTTGCACCTCGGTATATTGGACCATATGAAATCACAGAGAAGATTGGACCAGTAGCTTATAAGTTAGCATTGCCTCCAGAACTATCCCAAATCCACAATGTATTTCATGTTAGTATGCTGAAGAGGTACAAAGTGGATCCTTCCCATGTTATACAACCAGAGGAGATCGAGTTGGGTCCAGATTTGACTTTTGAGGAGGTTCCAGTTCAGATTGTTGACCATCAGGTTAAAACTCTTCGTAGGAAGTAAATTCCAATGTTAAAGGTTGTGTGGAGGAATCAAGAAAGTGAGAGTGCTACCTGGGAAACTGAAGCAAGTATGCGAGAGAAGTACCCTGAGTTAGTAGCAACCTACTTTGCAGGTTAACAATCTTGCCTAGTAAGTTATGTTTTGAACTTGTTGATGTGCTTTTGTTGTGATAGCCCAGTATAGGTTTTTGAAACCTAAACATGGGAACTTGAGGTGTTATGTGTTACTCTCTATGTTATGAATCGCCTAACCTAAGAGTTAGGTAATAACTTTATGTACGATAGACCATGTCAAGGGTAAGTAAGCGGACTAAGGATACAACTCAAGGTTAGATTTCGGGGACGAAATCATTTAAGGAGGGGAGAATTGTAACATCCCGTTTCGGCTAAAATCATATTTCGATCGCTAGAAAATTTCACGATTTAAAATCGAGCATTTCGACACTATTTTGACGAAAATCGGATTATCGATCGATCGGATAAGTATATATACATATACATATATATATATATATCCCATGTCCATTTAAATCTCATCGTCTTTCTCATTTCCACCGAGAGAAACAAAAAAAAAGAGCGACAACAGTCGCGCACAGGGGAGCTCGGGGAACATTTCCGTAGCTCGATTCTTGAGCTACACTGATCCAAAAATCCCGTAAGTAATGCCCAATTCATCTATACATCGTGATTTATCGAATTAGAGCTTTAAAACGAGTTTTTGGTTCAGGAATTTCTTGAATTCCCGATAAGACAAATTAGGGTTTCGGAGTATCCGGAAGCCGGATTGAGCCCAAATTTCATATACGAGCTTACTGCAGCGAGGTAATCAATCCTCTAGTTCTAATCCCTGAATTTCGGCTATTATTTAGATCGGGGCCAAACCGCTGAATTTAGCTCCGGCCAGGGTTTGATGTGTTTTTATCAAGAATTTGACCCGGAGCCTAGAACTAATATTGACGGGGATACTGAAGGGGATATTAGGACGGTCTCGGATTTTAATTCGGGGTTCGTTCGTGAAATTGACGTTTTAGTACGGGAAGGTTAAACCGGTGTTTGGACGACCAGAACGGGTGAGGGATTAGCACGGCATACTGGGTTTGTCGTATCACGATAATTATATTGATGCTTAGAATTGATCTAGGTGAACTAGAATGGCATGATTAGGGGTGTATGGACTTTTATGCTATATGATGAACCATGGATTGTTGTATGATATTATTGACTTGCCCTAGCCGATATGAACCTTGTTTATGTTGATGATTTCATACATGTTGCCATTTGTGGCTTAACCGTTGATATGACTTCATGGCTGTTCGATCAGGTGTTTTGACATGATGTGATATTGTGGTTGTTTTTGGATTCACAAGTGGGGGAAATAAACTTCCCAGGGTGATATTATGATGTTTAAGGAGGATGACTTGCACGAGGGTTTATCCCGAGGAAGGGCAATTATACGACTCCTGATTTACCTATGTTGAGCCAATTATGGCCAGGTCATGTACATGTGCAAGTAATGAATTATGATTAAGCAAGATGAGATATGAATCATGTATAAGGATACCAAATATGAGTGTTGTGGTCTCACGGTCAACTACATAGTAATTAGGGCTCCTTATGCTATTACTCTATTATGATATGTATGATAGTCACACCTCTCATGTGGTGGTGACTGAAGAATTCTTATGAGATATGACCACACCCAGAGCGGTGTTGGGGTATGACTACACCCATAGTGGTGTGGGGTATGTATGACCACATCCGACGGGATGTTGGGGTATGTATGACTACATCCGACGGGATGTGGGGTATGTTTCCCGGGAGAGTTATTAGCATGGGAGTAGCCAGGCGCCTATAAGTAAAACATGATAAGATGCATATGCATAAGTCAAGGTGGTTGAGTCTTTTGCCTATTGGGATATGAGGATGGCTGAGGTTCGATCCTAGTGTTTTGGCTTGATTGTTAGATGTATGATAGGGGTATGCTCTGTTATGAACTCACGATGCTATGATTATCTCACTCAGCTATGAGCTGACCCTCTTTTATTCTTCTTCTCTGCTTATGCTATGTGTAAGCAGATCATCAGCAACACCAGTAGATAGGTGTATAGGTGGGAGCTGAGCAAGAGTTGAAGGCAAGATGAGGTATGGTATTCAACCATTCTGTGCTTGGACTACTACTAGGGATTTTGGCCAGTGATCCACACCTTTTTGTAAAAATGTTTTGAGAACGTTTTTCATGTGCATACTAGCTTCTGATGTAGTGTGAGATATCCACAGGTGTGGAAAGTTGATGATATGTGTATATTTTTGTAATTAGGTAAGTTGTGACGATTATGGCTTGTATCAGTATAGTATGCAGTTGTGTAGTATGAAACTGTGACTATGGCTATGAAAGCCAATGTATATGGTTGTTAGTATATATGTTTGTCATTGAATGCATGGATTCAGATAAATTATTTTGCAGGTTTTAGTTACAAGAACTGTTTGCCCATTATGCGAGTAATTCATGTCGAAATTTTATTTGGGTAAATTTTGATAATTCATGTAACACCCGAGATTATTTCCGCTGCAATTGTATGAACAATATGATTAGGTAATACGTATAGAGTAGGGTGTTACAGAAGATTTCTCCCGATTAACCTCCTATCCCGTGATTGCTCCATAGGAATCCAGAATCAGCAGGATGCTCTCAGCCTCTATGGCAGAAGCATCACCGAAAATAACCGTATCATCCACGAAGAGGCAATGAGTTAGTGTAGGGCAGTGCCTGTTGAGCTTAAGTCCTATGATCTCCTGCTGTTGTACTACTTTTTCAATGAGGGACGACAAAGCATTAGACATAAGAATGAAAAGGATAGGAGAGAGAGGGTCTCATTGTCATATTCCTCTGGAAGGGGTGAATACAGTAGATGGTTCTCCGTTGAAAAGGAGTCTGAATTTCACCGTGGAGACACAAGCCTTAACCCATCGGCACCAGGTGTTATTGAAGCTATATGCACTCAGCAGTTCAAGAAGGAAGTCCCACTCGACCAAATCGTAGGCCTTCCGCATATCCAGCTTCATCATCATATCTTTGCGGCTACCTGCTCTATTCTTCTTGAAGTGATTAAGAACTTCGTGGACAATAATGATGTTATCTTGAATTTGTCGCCCACTAGTAAAAGATGACTGTAACTCGTTCACCAGCACCAGAAGCCATGGTTGCAGTCTGTTTGTCATGATCTTGGTGATGAATTTGTATATGAAGTTGCAGCAACTAATAGGCCGGAACTGGCCGATAGTCTCTGGGGTCTCTGATTTAGGGATGACAGTGATAAAGGTATCGTTCCAAGACTCAGGCATAACACTCGTCCGGAAGAAGCAGATGATTTCTTCACAGAACTGGTCATCAATAAGATTCCAGAATTTCCTAAAGAAAAAGCCTGGAAAGCCGTCGGGCCCTGGGGCCTTATTTGCTCCGAGTTGGAAGACCGCCTTTCAGATCTCATTGTTGTTCAGGTCGGCTGTGAGAGCTACATTCACCTGTTTTGATTCCAGATGGGGAAAGCTTGTCAAGAGAGAATGATCAAACGTACCTCCCTTGCTTGTGAACAACTCACGGTAGAAACCATTAACGTGGTTATCTAGGTCCTGAGCATCCTCCAGCCAAATCCCATCAGAGTTCTTCAGCTTTAGAATTCTGTTCTTGTTCCTCCTCCTGGCACCCTTTCAGGATGTCACAAATCTACCCGCCTCTATTCCATATACTTGTAATAATATGACAACATTCGTCGTTGTCCCGCCATCTCTTGTCGAGCCGGAAGGGGGTATGCCTAGAATGATGCTTGGGATGCAAATCAATTCTGATGGGGCAGTGATCAGATTCGACAAAATCCTCATGGAACACCACAGCCGACTCAAAACTCAGTTTCCAGGAAGAAGAGTAGAGAGGCCGATCAAGTCTCTCCCTGATAAGATTGTTACCTTATTGCTTGTTTGTACAGGTGAAAGGTTGGTCAGAAAAGCCCTGGTCCAGGAGAGCATTCTGATCGATGAAGTACTTAAACAGAGCTACATTTTCATTCCTAAGAGGACAACGTCCCTGCTTCTCAAAAGGGTACAGAACAACATTCAAGTCTCCCAGTACAAGCCACTTCTCATCATGGGCATCCCTCAAGGTCGTAAGTCGATCCCAAAGGGCCCTTCTCTCCACTGCCGAGGTCGGAGCATGGATGAAAGTAAAAAAGAAGGTAACACCATCCCTACTAATACTAACGTCCATATAGGACTTACAGGAATCAAGAACACACAAATCGACTTCATTCTTCAACTAGAGCGTTAGTCCACTACCTTCTACTATAGGGCTAACGTACTTTGAGTGGTCAAACCTCAGTGCCCTCTTTTTGTCGTCCATGAAAATGTCGTCTTTCTTGGTTTCCATGAGGAATACCACTGAGGGGCCAAATATTTGGCAAAGTCTGCCACAGTAGCTTCTTGTAAGGGGCTGGCCATACCCCCTACAATTCCAGCTGATGATCCTCATGGTTTAGTAGGCGGCTTATGGTCTGCCGCCGTCGCCTTTGGGGAGTTGGATTCACCTTCACCAGATTGGTTCCCATCCGCATTGATATCCTTGATGCTTCTCCTTTTTATTGTGTGTTTCTTCCTTGCGGAATTCCTTTGGTTACCACCTGCTGTGAAAGACAGAGACTCAACAGCTAGGTTAGTAGAAAAAGTTTGCTGCGGGGAGGAGTTTGACTGAATGTTCCGGTGCTCTGGTTTTCTCTTCTTCTCCGTTCTGGTGCTAGGCTCCTCCGCCACCATTGGGCTTTCAATTTTGGTCATCTGGTGAGGATTGTGGGCTTGCTGGGCTCCCATAACTGGTGATTGTTCAAAACCTACTTGGGCCTGATCCATTTCTTGTTGGGTTAGGGTTGGGCTGGCCAGTGTGAGGGATTTGCCCATCTCCACCAACCCAGCCTGCTTCTCCCTATTTGAAGCTTGGGTGTTCCTCTATAACTTGGTGCACTTGGATCGTGGAAAGGAAGCCAAAAAGGTTGGATTGCAAGTCATGCAAAAAACCCTATCCTGCAACTGGAAATCTGCCTGTTTTTTTATTAAGGCAGAAAGACAGTTTGAGATAGCAACTTTGAGCTCGAATTCACAAAGCTGGAAATTTTCTAAGTGTTGGAACAATTCTGGGAACCCTATTTTGGAGGCTTGGTTCTCCCAATTGGTCTACTAAAAATGTAAGGTCAAGAGCTTGTTTTGAAGCTTGGGTGTTCCTCTATAACTTGGTGAACTTGGATCGTGGAAAGGAATCCAAAAGGGTTGGATTTCAAGTCATGCAAAATCCTATCCTGCAACTGGAAATATGCCTGTTTTTTACTAAGGCAGAAAGACAGTTTGAGATAGCAAATTTGAGCTCGATTTCATGAAGTTTGGAACGCGATCAGCTGGAGCTTGGAGTTGGGAATAAAACTATGCAACTTTCTAGGCCTAGGAAAGGAATTGGATGACTTCGAGTAGACCCAGAAGACCAAGATCCAGGAGCTCGAAGATGGAACGAGGGGCTGTATCCTAGACAGATTGCTTGGAAGAGAAGAATACTACTTGTGGTGCAAGTTACCGTGTTTTAACGTGTTTCCTTTCCTTATTAGAGTATGTTTCGTTTCCTTGTTGCTTTAGAATTGTGATTAGGTTAAGTTTGGCTATAAATAGCCTGTTCATTCGTTGTAAGGGACATTTTAAGTTTAATCAAAAGTTTACTCCGAGGAGTTTCTCAAGCTTGCAAGCTAAGTTTTTCTTGGTTTTGTGCCGAGAATTGCAGACCTAGAGATGGAGTCAATCATCCTCGATCTTGTGGTTATCTCTACCCTAACTAGCCTCTTCCCTCTCGTGTTGAAGTTGTTTGTTCGGTTTTCCCCATTCATCCATCCATCCCCTCTATTTTTACCACAAATTCATCACCACCTCGAAGACAACTACCCTAGTTGCGTGTTTGGTGTTAATGAATGGTACTCCCACGGGTTTCTTCTCGCCGTCTAGGAGGCTCCGTCAGGGGGATTCTCTTTCATCTCTTTTGTTTGTGCTCTGAACAAAAGGGTTTGCGACACTTCTCCAAAGAGCTATTTCGGCCAATTAATTTAAAGGTGTTAAGGTGGCTCCTCAAGCTCCACAAATCTCGCATATGTTTTTTGCAAATGATTCGTATTTGTTTTTGCGAAGAATCCTCCAGGAGTGTGAGAATTTGATCGAGGTCTTGAATGAATATGAGGATTTGAGGGGTCAGAGTGTGAACTTGGATAAATCGGCAGTTTGCTTTAGCAAAGCATTGCCCTGCCGGACCAGGAATTCTTGGCCCAACTACTGGGAGTCGGGGCAGTTGGACTCCATGATAAGTATCTCGGATTGCCGACGCTGATTGCCCGATCAAAAATGACCACTTTCCGATATTTGGAGGCGAAGTTGCTTGAGCAGGGTTGGAAACAGCGGACGCTATCTTGGGCAACTAAGGAAACTTTAATTAAATCAATTGCTTTAGCGTTACTATTACATGTTATGGCATGTTTCAAGCTACCGTTATCTCTGTGTTGGCTTTTAGACAAACATGTGGCCTGTTCTGGTGGGGAGTAGAGGTGGGTCATTCAAGGATTCGGTGGATATCCTGGCGCAACATGTGCAAAAGTAAGTATGATGGGGTATGGGTTTTCGTCGTTTTGAACATTTTAATCAGTCCTTGTTAGCCAAAATTGGTTGGCGTATCCTTAATGAATCCCAATCACTTCTAACCTAGGTTTACAAAGGAAAATATTTTCCGACGGGGACTTTCCTCAGTGCCACGGCTCGGTTGTGCCCATTTTGGGGTTGGCTAAGTATCCTCTATGGTAGGCAGTTGTTGGAGATGGGGCTTCGCTGGAAAATTGGTAATGGGAATTCTGCTTGCTACTTTATTCGAAATGGATCCCTCGATTACATCCCTCTCCCCCCCCCCCCCCCCCGTGTATAATCCTCTAGTGTTATCGTAGGGGGGGGGGGGGGGAGGCCCACCAGTAGCTGAGGTTATCTGTCAAGGAGAAGGGCGTTGGTGTGATTGGAAGCTAAGTCAGTGGTTTGAACCGCCAACTTGCCGCGCCATCAAAACTATTCCTCTTCCACGTCAGAATGTGGAGGATAGACCAATATGGCATGATACGGTTGATGGGGCATTTACGGTTAAATCGGCTTATCACCTTGTTGTTTTACTTGAAAAGCACAAGGGTTGATGGCGGTCCATGGCTAGTTGGATGGATAGGACTAGTTGGATTCGTTTATGGGAGGTCAATATTCCGCCAAAATTGAAGGTGTTTATCTGGAAAATCTTTCACTGTATCCTCCCAACTATTGAAGCCCTAATAAAGAAGGATGTCCTTATGCTCCCTAGATGCCCGGTTTGTTGGGCTGAACTCGAAACACTAGAACACTTGTTTCTATACTGCCCGGTGGCGCGCGCCCTTTGGGACTATTCAGGACTGGAGTATATTGGGCAAGGGATGCCTCGTCACACTTTCCCACTCTTTTTAAAGAGGATGATGGCGTTGATTCATCAACCTTCTCTGTTCATGGCGGTGGTTGCCATCCTATGGAGGATCTGGTGGTCTCGTAACTGGGTTGTCTTTGAAGGTAAACAGTTTGGGATACCAGCCTTGATGCGTCAATTTCATCAGTAATATGATGAGTGGTTAAGTTTGTCAATGTACCGAATGCCTCAGCCTTCCATCCCTTTACTACAACATTTGGCCCCTGGGTTGACGAATATGTTGATTTGTATATGGGATGAGCCTACGAGGTGTGAGTCGCATTCATCAGGCGGGATGGCTCTTATGAACCCAGCCAGGGATGTCCTAATGGCTAATGAGATTCAAATTCCGTGGATTGATGACCCTATGGTGGTGGAATTACTAGTGCTTCGGGAGGATATCTTATGGTGTCAGGGCCACGGGCTCATGGAAGTAAGGTTTGAAGGTGATGCCAAAGTGATAATTGAGAAGATTATTCGGGCGGATATCAGTGATAACCGCGAAAAAATTCCAAAACTACCACTGTTTTAAAAAAATTACAGAAATACCACCCATTCCCAAGAATTTCCGAAAATACCACCGTTTATTAAAAATCGCTCCACTAACGGGCGGTTAATATAGAAACCGCACAACCAGGCCGCGCTTTACCTTAGAACCGCCTAGTCAACGCGCGGTTTACCTTTTCAAGTAAAACCGCTCTTCGAAAAGGCGATTTTTATGGCTGCCCTACGACAAAACGCTACCTCAGGGAGTGGTTCTATGTCTTCATGGTAAAACGCTCCATAGAGAAGCGGTTTACCATGTCGACACATAAACTGCTGCCCCCACTAGTGGTTTGTGCCTGGTCACCTGACATCCAAGATGTCGGCATGCAGGAGGTTGCAGGGGTGGGGGCTACATGCCAGACTAAAACCGCTCCCCCCTTGTGGTTTGTAGTGTAAAATTCGCCTATAAAAGACTGGTCTAGAAAACTCAAAATCTTCACTCCACCCATCCTTCTTCTTCAAATTTCCGTTGCGCACCTTTAAATTATTTAATTTTTGCGATTAACGTTAATTCGTAAGTTTGTTTTGTATTACTTTTCATTGTCCTTTGTGATTTTTATGTTAGTAACTTAATTACAGTTTTATTGCAGATGGCATTCCAAAGGTTCACGCTTGGGTTGCGGTGGAATGGTTACACGGAAAAGACTGAAAAGGGTGTAAGTTACGTGGGTGATAATTTTTATTAAATGAAGGTCTGTACGAGACCGATGCTTGAAGAGCTCCATCAAATATGCACTCAGATTACCTGCATAGATGGCACTAGAAGAGTTGATCGTATGGTGTATCGATATCCAAACAGACCTGGCGGGTCGCTGTGGAATGAGGAATTCCTCCTTACCATGCAGGAGGACATTGATGCCATGGTCCAATTTTTGACCACCAATAAAATTAAACAAGCGGAGATGTTCATTTACACCGAGGCCGTCGAAGGCAGTGTAGGTCATTCTGGAGATGGCCAAACATCTGGTATCCACGGTGGGAGTGTATTATACGAAGATCATCCCCAACAGGAGTACCAAGACTCAAGCTGAGGCAGGAGTATCTTGATGGAACTGGAGGTCATCATCAATCCTTCCCATCATATGAAGAAGAAGCTCAACAGGAGGATGAGAACCAACAAGCAGGCTACCAGTACCCACCCAAGTACAACTTCTACCAAAGCGGCGTTAGTTACCACAACTACCATTACAGAGCTGGTGAAGATGAAGGTGCCTTTCATGATGATCATCATATGGAAGAAGAGGTCAATCCAAGTCCAGTTAGTGACCCTGAGGTTGAAGAAGAGGAAGGCAATGTTAGTGCAGACAGCTTCGATCCTCTTGAAGGTGCTGATGATTCCGGTCCAGATTCAGACGCAGACAGTGATGAGGTACCTCGCGACCGTGTACCTATCCCGTACTACAATCACATTCCCAATGAAGATTGGTATGTTGATGCCGTCATGGACCCGCTAGAGGTGCCAGTATGGGGTCCACTCACTGGCTTTACGAAGGGCCAACAATTTGCAACGAAGAATGAGGTCCGGCACGCTATTGCCACTAAAGCAATGACTTGGAGTTTTGAATGGCATACAACCCATTATGACACAAAGAGGCTGATGGTTAGATGCAAAAATCAAAATGAGGGACGCAAAGCTAGGGTCCGGGCTATCAAGAGCAAGAGAGTCGTCAATAACATCCCAAGGCCATCGACAGTTGAAATCAAGGGTGGTTGCCACGGCTACCAAACATCTAATTGAGGAGCAGCCCGACCTGAAGGTGAAAACCATCATCGCCGACATTTCTAGTCGTTATGGTTATATTATTAACTACAAGAAGGCGTGACATGGAAAATAGAAAGCACTGGCTGCCGTTTTTGGTGACTGGGAAGAATCATATGCATTCCTTCCCAGATTGATTTTGGCGTTGGAGGTGTCTAACCCTGGCACCATTTTCTCTCCTCGCTACCAAGAAGAAATTAAGCCGCCGGTGCCTGGTAACAAGCTCCATTTCAAGCGTCTTTTCTAGTCATTCAAGCCATGTATTGATGGTTTTCCATTATGTGTTCCTGTGATTCAAGTTGATGGAACATTCCTTACCGGCAAGTACAAGGGTACTTTACTGATCGCCAGCGGAGCAGATGCAAATAGAGCAGTATACCCATTAGTCTTTG